TGGGCTTCAGTGTCTCTGCCTGCAACAGATATAATAACAGTACCCACTACTCAGGGGCATGGTTGTGAGGACTAAATGAGATCACCTCCAGCAACACCTGGAGCTTCCTAGAAGGCAATGAATGTAACTGAGATAATAGTGCCAGGGTAACTCTCTAGAGCAGGGCTTCTCTACCAGGGCAGTAATGATATTTGGGATCATTTTTTGGTCTAGGGGGCCATCCTGTGCCTTGAAGATGTTTAGCAGCATCCCTGGCCTCTGCTCATGAGAGGCCAGTAGCACCCTCCCCAGCTGTGAAAATAAAAAATCTCTTTCAACAGCTCAGTTGTCCCAGCAGAGAACCACTGTTTTATAGGGAAACAGCCAAGAGTCCCCAATGGAACATCACGGTTCCACTGCCTGCTGCAGCCCAGCTGGTGGAGTTGGAGTCTTTTCTTTCCCTCATCTGCAGAGGAGTCCCCAATGCCAGCTCCATGTCACTAGTGGAAGCACCTAACTCCTATGCATGGCAAGTGAGCAGTGGGCAGCTAAGTGCTTCTGGGGGTGTGGAAGAGCGAGAAATCTCTGAAGTGAATAATGAAAAAAGCAGGGCTGAGGTACAGGAAGGAGCAGAGGGAGTGGGGTCCCCACCTCTACCGCCTTGACCTCCTGCAGAAGGAGCACCTCTACCCCAAAATTGGCAGGCAGGAGAAGTGTGTCTTCTCTGAAGCAGAGGAAGAGAGGGCAAGGAGGTGTACTAGGGGCTCAGGCAGCTGTTTGGGTGTCATTTAGACACAGAGCCAGGACACACTGCATAGAATGTATCCCAACACCTTCCCGATACTGTGACCACAACTAAAGCACATATGCCTTCCCAATCTACTTTCTCTTTGCCACCATCGTGATCTCCATTTCTCCATCTAGGATGATTTTAAATGAGTATGGACAAGATATCTATCATATGTCTGCTATGCATGTCTGCTGTAGGACCCTAAGGGTGGTTTTTGTTTTGTTTTGGAGTGATTATTTTTCAAAGGGGAAGTAAGGAAGATATTAACTAAATATTAGAATGCAAGATTCAGTTGGAAAATTATCCCATCCAATTGGAAAATAGCACATATTCATATCCACACTCAGGGATACTCAAACCATATCCACAGTGCTGAGGGAAGATGGAATAAAATTTCTTAAATTTTCCAACAAATGACCTGCATGAACTAAAGTTTAAAAGGCTGAAGGAAAAGTCAGCATAAACAAAGGGCACCAGGGCCCTATCACATCTCCAGGCTGGTCTTGACTTCCAAGGGCATGTGGGTCAAAGGCCATGTTCAATTGAAAGGATTCTTTTCCTCTTGGGAATAAATCTGATCCCTCCTCAAACCCATTCTAGTTTCTTGCAATTGGTAGGCATTATCCATTTCCTTTGTTCCTGTTGGGGGAGCAGTGAGTGGCTGACACTAGAAGTCACTTAAAAGCCACACCCTTCCACCATGGGTGTGTGCAAACAAGGTCTGTGCAGGGCAGGGACATTGTCACTCATCCAAAAAAACAGCAAAGCCAACAAACCCCGCCCCCAAACCGTCCAAAGGTGCAATCCAAAGCCAAGCCAAGTTACTGCTGTAAACACATGAGCTAGGGAAAGCAAACTGGTCAAGGAATGAATTAGCTTCAAGAGACAGGAGCTGGGGGAGGATGGTGCTGCACGAAATCATCTATATCTATCTATTTATTTAGAGGGTTTGGAGATGGGAAACAGAGAAGCCATTCATATGTGGTAAACACAAGGAATATCATTAAACACAACATGACGTCACAGAATCAACTACGGACAGGAAAGCCATTTCCTTTTTTGCTGTAAGATGGGTTAGTTGAGGGGGCGAGGCAGGGACCACAGAGAACTCAAAGCTGTGCTGCTGAGTCTGGAGCCTGAGTGTGCAGCAGTCTGGAGAGGCCACGGGTAGTCGCTGTCCCAGACACCATCATTCATTCCAATCCAAACCAGCTGGAAACCAGGACTTGGAGTTACAGTTTCCGCAGCACCAGAGGGTGAGTGGGGTGTCACCGGACGTAAAAGAGCACCCCCGACTGCTGGGTACTGCGCGAGGCTTAGTGTACGCGCGCATGCGCGCGCTCGGTAGCCCTCAGAGGGATCGGATGCCTGGACAGTTCCCGATGTGCTGCTCCACTATCGGGACATAAGCTCAAAGGCTGCATCCTTCCAGCTCCTGGGGTGGAGCCCTAGGGTAAAAGCACGCGCAGAGTCAGGAATGAGATTCCCAATCGTCATTCCAAGGGCCACCCGCTATCCCTGAGGTTCTTCCATTAACAGACCCCCGGCCTTGCTGACCCGAGCGCCCCAGTAAAGCTTCAACGCATTTCAAAATGGAGCAAAATAACAGAAGCATGGCCTGTGCTTTGTTCCTGCATTGGGGTAAATGCTCTCGCTCCCACCGGTCTCTCCTAACGGACAGGTGATATCTCTGCCCCAGAGTCTGCAATGGGCAGCCTTGTTCGCACGCTTCCCTCTTCCAGGGCGGGAGCAAGATCCTCCCTCCTCCGTCTGGGATGGGAATTCTATGCCGGGCTCTGTCGGAGGGCGACGGTTGGAAGAGGTTTGAATGGATCCTTCAGTCACTTCCGAAACCCTCCCGCGGCTGGCTGGGCTCCCCGAGGCCACAGCTGACCCGGAGAGGGCTCTTCACCAGAGCCAAGACACTCCCCAGAAATTCAGAACAATCTAGGCAGCCCGCGTGAGCTATCGGCCTCAAAAGGTGCTCGTCCGTCTCAGAACTGCGCCCCCGCACCAGTGTTTCGCGATAGAATTAACCAGAAAACCTCGTGGACCCAGCTCACCGCAGCACAGCGAGGCTAGGACTTGTTGGCAGGGAGTTAGACCCCTCCCCCTTGGTTTTAAGGGTGACAGTGAACTCCAACTCTTAAGTGAAAAATCCCACACCTAAGATAAATAACATTAATGAAATAATACTAATTAGCACGCTCATAATAATAAAAATACACCAAGGACGCCTATCTAGGTAGTTGTGGCCGACGGACCTATTAAATGAGCCACAGGTCAGGCCTCGGGTCTCCTTCTTTTGCCACCGGGAGGCCAACCGGGCTAGGCAGCCTTACCCCAAGGTCCTCAATATCCTAGGGCAAGGGGGCGGGGCAATGTAACGAGGTTCCTCCTCCGGACGCCTGTGGTTCCCACGGCAACCCCCACAAGCTGCCCACCTCCCAGTGGGCTCGGAAAGATGGGTGTGGCCGCAGCACCTGAGGGAACCTCCAGGCCCCTCCTCACTTCCTCCGGCTGGGCAAGCAACTGGGAGTAAAGGAGGGAGGGGCCATCTGCGATCTCCTCCCATCCGTGGGTGTGATCAGCGCCCCTAGCTGGAAACCTGGTGGGGTGTAGCCTCTAGGGAGCTAGGGATGTAGGGGGGCTTGTGGTCCTTCTCTGGCTACCCGCCCCGCGCGCCAAGACCTCAAATCCCACCCCTTTGGCCCGACTGACGCCTCCTGGCGCTGGGCGGAATTCCGGGAGGGGGCTGCCTGTTCCGGGAGTCACGCCCGTTCTGTGCGTGCCCTGCAGGCTGTGACTCGAGTTCATCGATCCAAGCAAATCCCTAGATTCAACAAAAGGGTCAGAAATTAGGGGTGAAAAAATAGGGGACTTGCTGGAGGTGGGGTAGCTAAGTACCCTCTTAGAGCAAAAGCAAAGAACAGGGCTGGGAGCGCAGATCGCAGATCACCTAACCTCTACGAACAAAGCAGCGAGCTCCCTTAAAAGACCCCAGTGAACGACCCCAGTGCCTACGCCCGCAGCCCCAAACGTCAAGATTTCAGAGCTCATTGCCCTTCTCTTCTTCAATTCCAGTCCCTGTCCTGTCCTCCGAAAACCGGCCACCCGACTTGGCATGGTACGATAAAGACGTGACATGCCGCAAAAAGATGGCACCTCGCGTTCGGAGGGGGAAAAAATGAGGAGGGTGGGAGTGGGAGGAGGCACAGCCTGCCCTCCCCCTCCTCGCCCACCCAGGTCCACACCCACTGCCGCAGTGAGGGGCGAGCCCTACGCGCCAGCCCCGCGCCTCCGGCAGAGAGCGCACACGCGGGGCGCCAGGCTCAGAGCACAGAGAAAGGAACCCGCCCCGAAATGCACCTGCAGCCCCCGCGCCCGTCTGTGCAGGGCTGCGGCTGTGCGCGCCCGTGAACAGGGAGCCGTGGCCGCCGAGTCTCCCGAACATCGCAAGGCCAGGTGACCCCTGCCATTTCAAGCTTCCACACTGGGATCCATGTACTGTCTTTTCTCGGGCACGGCGCTTGTCTCGTCTCGGCTACCAGGCGCGCGCAGGGGGAAGGGCAGCTAAAGTGACAGCGCCTGGACCCCTCCCCATCTCCCCAATCCCTCCCAGCCCCCAAATGTCCCCTGCGGATTTTTGAAGGAGGAAAAGGGGAGGGGGCGAGCCACCGCCTTAATCAAGGGCAGTAAGGGCCCATTGGGTATCGCTGCCAGGGGTAGGGGCGTAGGGAAAGGTATGTCGTGAATCATCTTTTCTAGAACCCGATCCATATCTTCCTTAGGGCTGATGGCAAACAGGAGCAAAGAAATCGGATTTCAGGTTCGGTTTTGAGGGTCGTCATTGAGCCCCATGCCACACACACACAGAGACCCACGCCCATTGCGGCAAAAGGATGAGATCGAGAGTGCTGAGCAGCCCCCTCTTCCAGGTCACCGCCATTCGCGCCCCACCCTGTGGTTTGCGCGAAGCGAGTCTTGAGGACCCCCCAGCACACACGAACACATAGACATACGCCCTCACACGCGCGCGTGCATCCCTTGCACGCGTGCATTTCCAAGCCGCCCTAGTCCCAGCCCCGGAGCACCGAGGGCGCAGGGAGGGCCCCCCGCCGTGGCCCCGGACTGATGCCCAGCGCGTTAAATCCATCTCTGGGGCGAGGGGCAGCGGCGGGGGATACAGTGGAGGGGATCCGGAGGCAGATTTCGGAGCCTCGGTGCTTACCTGATGGTCGACAGAAGGCGAGGACAGAAGAGGACAGTGGAGGAAAGGGTGGATGTGGCGGCGGCGGCAGAAGGTGGGCGGTGGCGGCGTCGCGGCTGCGGGTGCCGGAGCTGGTGGGTGGCGGGGACAGCGAGCGCGCGCGCCAGCGAGAGGGCGCGTTCCCGAGGCCGGCGAGCGGCGCAGGCGCGAGCAGCGGGAGCGCGAGCCTCCTCAGGGGAGGGGCGGGCAGTTAAGGCCTTCCCAGCGCCTTTCCCTCCGGCCGCCAGAGGGCGCGCGCGAGCGCCCCACCGCTCGGCCCTCCCGCGCCTTCTGGCTGGCTCCTCTCGGCGCTTCCCTTCCTTGGTCCTACTCCCGCCACGCCTCGGGCCGCGGTGCTGACCGCCGCGCGCACGCGCGCTGCGTGGCGCACGCGCACTCTCGGCCTCCCGTGGACGCAGCCTTTGTCCTGTCGGAGGGGTCTCCTCCCTCGGGGTCCGCAGGGTCTGCTGTCCCTTTCCTTTCTGTCAGCCGAGGGCAGTGTCCTCTATCTTATAGAGCCCCTGGGCGGGTTTCCACCTAGCGGACTCCTCTGTCCACCCCACACCTCGAGGCCTTCCCCAGCCCAGTGCCCGAAACCTCCAGGTTGGAGACCACTTCCCCTTCGGCGCTTCCCTTACTCGTCGTTTCCCACCTTTTCCCTTATTACAGAAGTGAATTCTTTCCTTAACACATAATCCTAAAAGCATGCCAACTGGGTTGTAATACAGTGTTAGGAACATTTGCATCTATTATGTATTTAACTATGACCCTAGGGGAAAAATTTAAATTAGATGAAGTTCAAATGATGCTTAACACGTGCAAAGCATTTTCACATACACGGTTATTTTTATCTCTTTTGTTGAAACGCTTTTTACACTGTAAGTAAAGCTTGAGATCTGGATTTTTAAGTATCTGCTGTAGATGGTCATCTGGATGACATGCCTCAGACTGAAACACTAGTGAAACTGGTTCTCCCAGTCGCCCAGGCCCTGGGCTTTGGCTTTAGCTTGGGTTTCTAATATCTCCATTGATGCGCTGGAGGTGGGAGACTCTCCGTGTATGGGGGCGTATGGGGGGGCGGGGTTGGGGGCTTGGGGTTGGTTATCTCCTACGGAGAGGGGAACTTATCTTGAGGCCTTAATTTGTATGGCCTTTTTATTATTAAAAAAAAAAAAGAGAGATGTGTATTACAAAATAACATAAGAGCAAGTAATCAAAAATGCTTGCACATGCGCGAGGCTCTGGGTTCAATTCCCAGATACCGCAAAAAAAAAAAAAGAAAAAAAAAGGCTTTATTCATATGGGTGATGGAGGTGGAGCCACAGGTTTGAGTTTCTGGAATTGAGCTTGCTGTTGTTTCAGCTGACACTACCTTGCTTCTAGACCCCTATGTTGGTTCTGGACATGTAGGACCTTACTGGTCTCCTTGCTCTCAATGTCTCCCTCTCTTAGGCCATCTGTGTCCTCTAGTTTGATCAGACTTCAGAAGAGATGCTTTTAATTATGTGTTATGGTTTAGATATGTGGTGTCCGCCAAAAGCTCATGTGTGAGATGATGCAAGCATTTTCAGAGGTGAAAGATCAGATTATGAGATGTGTCACCTAATGAGTGGATTAATCCAGGGATAGGGATTAAACTATAGGCAGGTAGGGTGTGGCTGGAGGAAATAAATGTCTTTGGAGGTTTATAATTTGTCCACTGTGGAGCGGGGGTGCTTTGAGATTTATATTTTGTCTTTGGTGAGGAAACAGAAAGCCCTCTCTGTTTCCTGGTTGCGATGTCCTGAGCCTGCTTTCTGCCCCATGGTGTTCTGCCATGGTATACTCCATAACCTCAGGTCCAGAGCTCTGGAGTCAACTGACCATAGACCAAATCTCTAAAACCATGAACACAACAAACTTCCTCCTTTAAATTGTTCATTTATTTATTTGTTTATTTATTTGGGGGGGTATTGGGGATTGAACTCAGGGGCACTTGACCATTGAGCCACCTACCCATCCCTATTTTGTAGTTTATTTAGAGACAGAGTCTCACTGAGTTGCTTAGCGCCTGGCTTTGCTGAGGTTGGCTTTGAACTTTTGGATCTCTTGCCTCAGCCCCCTGAGCCACTGGGATTGCAGATGTGTGCCACGTGCCCTGCTATTTATTTTTGATACTGGGAGTTGAACCGAGGGGTGCTTTACCACTGAGCTATAATCTAGTCTTTTTTTTCTTTTAATTTTTATTTTAAGACAAGTTGCTGAGGCTGGCCTCAAACTTGTGATCCTTCTGCCTCAGCTTTCTGAGTCACTGGGATTACAGGCATGCATCACAGTGCCTGGCTCTACATTGTTCTCGTATTTTGGACACAGTGATAAAAGCTAACTAAAATGTCAAGCAGACTCTTGCTCAAATAGCAAAAAGCTTCTCATGGCCTCCTAAGTGAAGTGAAATCCTTGGTCCAGCATTGAAGCCCTTGGCCTCATGAGCCCCTGTCCTCTCTGATTTTCTCTCACCTACACTGTTGCCAGTGGAAGTTGTTTAACCAGAACACTTCTCCACCTTTGTACTCTGGAATTGCTTTTGCCTGCAAAGTCCCTGCTCTCTTTCTCTCCATCCGCCAATATCCTTCCTACCTAACCTTCAAACCTTCTCCCTAGCCCGAATTTTATCAAAGCCTTCTCTAATCACCCCAATTGGATAGGGTATTTCCAGTCTCAAGAAGGAGCTTAGCAAAGTTACTCATTTCCTCTCTGAAAATGAGGAGAGGGGTAGAATTACTATCTGTCTTGCAAATTTGATATTTTTTTTACTTTCCCCAGTAGTTTCCTTTTTCTGCGTGGGGGTTTATACATCCTTGTCCATCACTGTCTGGTGATGTAGGCATGTCCAAGCAGAAGCTTTAAGAGGTGTTGCAAATTTCTACCATATGACTCTTTCTTTCCACCACCAAAATGGCAGTCTGCATAGCATGGCTCCTTTAGCTGAGATCTCAGGTAGAAAAGTACATATAATGTGAACAAGAAATAAATATTTGTTGCATATGCCACTGAGATTTTGGGAGCTGTTTTTTACAAGAGTAAAGTTGGCTAATACAGAAATCTGTGTGTGTGTGTGGGTACACGCATTCAAGATTTCTTACACAGTGATTGACATAGCATTCATTAAATCATAAATGGTTGTTATTTATTCCATCCTCCTTTTCAACTTATTTTCTGTATGCACGTAAAATAATCTGTAACAAATTAACCATCTTCCACATTCAAAGTTCTTATTTTCACCCCTCAAGATGGAGTGTAATGGAGACCTGATGACAGTGTAGCCCCCTGATACTCAATGGTCACATTTGCCTGTATTAAATGGAGATAATGAATGCTAGGAACAACTTTAAACAGATCTGACATTGAACTGTATGTGATGTGGAGCTGAGTGTTCATTCCAGATAATTTTATCACTGTAGGTAGCTAATGGCTCACTAATGCAGGCCAAGAAAAAAACGCATCCTCTCCCTCCCTGTTGTTCCCTCTTGTGGAAATAGAAACCTCATGGTCACATACAGCACAACACTTGTAGGACCATAGAAGGCAGATAGCCATAGAGGGAAGAAAAAGGGTCAGGTAGCAGGAGAGCGGAGTCCTATTCTTAGCCATTTTGTATGACCTTAGACAAATCTATTACCTTCCCTGGACTTCAAATCCTTTATTGAATAGTGTCCCAGATATAGTTAGAACTGAGATCCAGATCTGTAGAATTTGGAGCCTCTGCTATTAAAGTGTTGTAACAAATGGACCCCAAAATATAATGGTTCAAGCATGACTCCCCTAGTAGCCCAGGGTGGTGTTCCAGAGTGGTGGGTAGCCTCCTTGGAGAGAGCTTCAGGGAACTCAGGCTCCTTCCATCCTGAGGCTCCGCAGCTCTGTAGGGCCTTACTATTTTTTGCTTGGTGGAGGCAGAGTCGTTTGCAAGGTCCAGCCGGCAGAAGGGAAGGAGGAAGCACATTGGCTGTCTTACAGGCTGCCAGTGGCATCTGATCACACTCCATGGCCAGAACTTAGACACCTGGCCATCCCTAACTGCAAAGGAGACCTGTGAATGTAGGAGAGTCGCAGGCCCGGGAAGAAGAGGAGAAAGGATTTGGTAGAAATCTGTCTCTGCCATATGTACTTTCCCTAGGAAAATAGAAAAAGACCTTGAATTTGTCTATCATGAGATTCTGACATGTAAATATGTTGGCAGACCCTGGAGGGGAGGGAGGGGTAGATAATTTGAGAGAAAGATAAAAGCCAAATTTCCAATGAAGTTTCTGAAAGAGAAGGAATCTTTTTTTTTTTTGGCATTGTTTTTACTGGGGATTGAACCCAGGGGTGCTTAACCACTGAGCCACATTCCCTGCCTTTTTTAGTTTTTATTTTGAGATAGGGTCTTGCTAAGTTGCTTAGGGCCTTACAAAGTTCTGAGGCTGGTTTTGAACTTGTGATCCTCCTGCCTTAGCTTCTGAGTCACCCATCACCAGATGGGCATCATCAAGCCTGGAGAGAAAGTATCATTGTATACTTTTGTATCAGAGGTTATTTAACCTGTTTTATGCCATGGAACCCCTTGGCAGTCTGATAAAGCCCTTTCTCAGAATATTTTTAAATGCATAAAATAAAATATATAAGATTACAAAGCAAACCCTTATCAAAGTTATCAAAGTACTTAAATATCTACAATGTGGTGTGTGATGGATGTGGGGACATGCTGCCCAGACTACCTTCTGGAATGACTCATTCCAGCTGTTGGGAGAGCTTCTAAGACAGGCTACCTCTGTCCAAACCTTCAGGGATTGCCTTGGCTGCAAGAGTCACCTGAGTCAGGGCGATCCAAGGCCAGGTCCTTTTGACCCCATGCCAGGCAAGCTAGATGGGCCATTTTAATCCCAGAACTCCCCATGGGGGGGTGGCCAGGCTGTTGTGTCGTTGAATTGTAGCTTGATTTCTTCATCTGCTCAGGCCTGCTTCCTGTCCCCACCTTTTCAGGTGTCGATGGTGTGTTCTAAGAAACATTCTCTCTCCTAAGACCTCTGCTGCCTAGGAACTTGGCTTGGGGCAGTTGGTGTCGGGGTGGTCCAGGAAAGCAGATGTTTATGTGGGTTTTAGAGCTGAT